GCAGGAGCAGGCTTTTGCGTCCCTTCCTCGCCAGCGGTCACGGAGGCGTCGGTGAGCGTCGCTGGTTCCGAGGTCTTGCACGCCACAAAGGTCAGTGTCAGAGACATCAGGATGGTGGTCGCGCTGATGACCTGTTTGCACCGATTTCGATTCTTCGGGTTCATGAACTGCTCTCCGCGTCGAGGTTTCTGTTGCGCGCGTCTTGGGACACCGTTTTTAACCCGAGGTTCCTCTCTTTGTGTAGAGAATGCGTGGTGTGCCGCGATGCGTTGTTCTCCTCGTGTCAGTCGACATGAGCAGGGCTGATGTGCATGATTGGGGCAGGTGGAGGTCAGATCCTCTCACAATGGAGTCATCGAATGAAACAGAACCAAGCCATAAAATCGCTCCTGGCCGCGCTCTGTCTGTGCGGCGCGTCGCTTTTTTCGGCGACCCCGGCGCAGGCTCAGCGCATTCAACTCGGTCCCGAGGAAAAGCAGCTCCTGACGACGCTGTTTCTGGGGACCACCGCGTCACTTTCGATCTACCTGACGCAGCGCCTGACCGACCAATTGCTCGACCGCATGTTCGCGGATGCGCACCGCTATATGAAGGAGAACGCCGTCGCGCTCCAACAAGAGGTCAGCTTTGGAGGCGGACCTGCGCTCGAGGATCTGGCTGATATTTACAGGCTCCCTACGACCGAACGAGGGGCCTGGGGCGCGCACTTGCGTGAGAACAGCAAGGAGCTGCTGCCGCTCTTGCGCGGCGAGCAGATGACCTTCGCGCAGGCGCAAACCTTCACCCTGATCGCATTGAGTGAAGTACAACTGCAACGACTGGAACAGCAATGACACAGGAACAGAGCACGCTGCGCGTGGGGATCGTGACCGTGAGTGATCGCGCCTTCCGCGGTGAATACGAGGACCTCTCGGGGCCAGCCATTTCCTCCTGGCTCGAGCGCGCTGTGACGACCCCCTGGGAGGGGCTCGCGCGTCTTGTCCCCGACGAGCGGGAGCAGATCGAGGCGACCTTGATCGAGCTCGCCGACGACGAGGCGTGCCATCTCATCCTCACGACAGGAGGGACTGGCCCTGCGCCAAGGGATGTGACGCCAGAGGCCACGCTGGCGATCGCGGACAAGGAGCTCCCGGGCTTTGGCGAGCGCATGCGGCAAATCAGCCTGGCGTATGTGCCGACGGCGATCCTCTCGAGGCAGGTCGGCGCGATTCGCGGCGGCTCGCTGATCGTGAATTTGCCTGGCAAGCCCAAGTCGATCGCCGAGATTCTGGATGTGCTCTTTGCCTCCATCCCCTACTGCATCGAGCTGATGGAGGGTCCTTACGTGGCGACCGACCCGGAGGTCGTCGAGGCGTTCCGTCCAAAGTCTTCGAAGTACGCGTGATTCTTGCGGCGAGGGGTTATCTGCGAGACCTTTTCTCGCCTGCGGGTTGCTCTCTAAGATAAGCCGTGTCATGAATGGATCATCGTGGAGAAGGAGCGCAGAACTCCAATACCTGTCAACCTCGCGACGAGGGTTGATGGGTTGTGGTTCGGTCGATTCGTCGGGAGTGCAAGGTGGATACGGAAAGGCTCCGCAAACCAGGGGATGTCGTCGCCGAACGATACGAGATCATCGAGTTCGTCGGCGTAGGATCGTTTGCTGAGGTTTATCGAAGCCTCGACAAAACGCTCGATCGCGAAGTCGCCATCAAGTTGATGCGCGTTCGCACCATGATCAAGCCAGGGATGGACGCGGCAGATGTTCACCGCAAGCTTCGCGAGCGCTTCGCGCGCGAAGCCGCCGCCGTCGCCAAACTCAATGACCCGTACACGGTCACGCTGTTCGATTCGGGCGCGGATCTTGGCGGTGATCTGTACATGGCGTTCGAGTTTATCCCCGGATTGACCCTGCGCGAGTACATCGCCAGGCACGGCGCGCTCGCGCCCGAACGCGTCGTCAAGATCCTCCAGCAGGCGCTCTCATCGCTCCGCGAGGCGCACGTTCACGGGTTGATGCACCGTGATATCAAACCTGAAAACCTGATGATTTTCGACCACCTCGGGCAGAAGGACCAGATCCGCGTGGTGGACTTTGGCATCGCCAAGGCGTTCGAGGATCAGGCGAACGCGCTCACCGCCGCTGGCCAGATCGTGGGCACGCCTCGCTATGTCTCGCCAGAGCGCGTCTATCAAAAGGATTTGATGCCCGCGAGCGACCTCTACAGCCTCGGCGCGGTCGCTTATTACCTGCTCGTCGGCGAGGAAGTTTACGCACAGACCAAGAGCCCGATCGAGCTGATCAAGCTCCACGCTTCGCCAGATCCGATCCTGTTGCCAGAGAGCAGCGGCGTCCCCAAGGGATTGCGTGTGATCATCGAGAAGATGCTCGCCAAGGAGCTCGGCGACCGTTATGGCGCCGCGCAGCAGATCATCGACGACCTCGAGGAGTACGTCCTCGAAGAGAAGGTCGCCAGGCGCGCCGAGCAGATGATCTCGAGCGGGATGATCGCGCCCACGACGCCTGCGGTCTCCATGGCCAATGGTCGCCTCTCGCTCGAAGACGAGGACTCGTCCGCGAAGACCGAGGCGATGGAGGCGATCGTCGGACCGCAACTCGATTCTCGCGTCATAGGGCAGGACGAGTCGGTCGTGATCGGTGATGCTCCGCAGGAAGATCCGACCGAAATGGTCGATATCTCACCGGATTTCCGCGACGCATTGCGCCGCGGTGAGGACGTCGGTCAGGCCCTCCAGAGCCAGGCATCTGGCGCGATGCCTCGTCGCTCGTTGGCCGAACAATCATCCCCTCAACAAGCGCAGCCTCAGAAACCGATCGATAACTTCGTGCCGTTGCAGCCCAATACGTTCTCGATGGCTGCCGTGCGGCGAGATGCTCCTCCTGCTGCTTCCGGCGGAACTGGCGGAGTTGGCGGAGCGGAACATGCGGGCGGTTTGGCGCAGCGCACATCGGATATCTCGTCGGCCAAGACCGAGGCCACGCCCGCTGTTCAGGTCCCACAAGCCAAACAAGAGAAGGCGTCTCCGTCAGACGGCAAAAAGAAGGAGAAGCCCCCGCTCGGGAAGTACCTCCTGATCGCTGGCGTCGTGGGATTCGTCCTGCTCTTGCTGATGGCTGTGGTCGCCTTCCTGCTCTGGAAATTCGTCATCAACCCTGGCTGACGAGCACATCGTGAAGAAAAACGTCTGCTGCCTGTTCATCTCATTGGCTTGCGTGTTCGCACTGAGCCCCTCGCAGGCTTTCGCGCAGGATACGGCGCCTCCTCCAGAACAACCTGCTGGCGATGTGAAGGTTCTCGAGAACTATTCGCCGTTCGAGCTCACCACAGCCGGAATCGGGACCGTCGGCGCGCTGATTTTGATCGGGAAGGGCTCGGACATCTTTGGCCACCCCGAGCCGAGCATGGGGCCTCCATCTCCAGAGAGTTTCGACTGGCGTGTTACTCATTGGGTGAACCCCGATCCCGATCCCGAGAAGAAGTGGCTCAACGGTATCCCGGACCTCGCTGGCTACGTGTTGCCTGCCGGAACGCTCGCGTTCTACGCCACGGGCAGCATCGGGAGCGCGGTCAATCCGAACTTCCCGCTCGGTTCACAAACGCACGAGCTGATCGCGTTCACCGAGTCGTTCGCCTGGACCATGGTCGCCGTCAACGGGATGAAGTTGATGGTTGGCCGGACGCGTCCTTTCGCGGTCAGACCGGATGTCGACGCCGAAGCCTTTGGCGAGGAGGAGAAGGAGCAGTTTATCTCCTTCCCGAGCGGCCACTCGGCTTCTGCGGCGGCCACCGCGTTCTTTCTCTTTCATGACATCTCGGACTACCTCGTCCACGAGGTCCTGGCCGATAGTCGCCCCATCGTGCGTTATGGATATGGTTACGCACTCCCGCTTGCTGGCGCCATCGGTGTCACGGGGACCGTGATGTTTAGCCGTGTTCGTGACCAGAAGCACTGGCTCAGTGATACGCTCGCGGGCGCGTTTATCGGCGGCAGCCTGGCGACGATTTTCTACACGATGCATTTTGACGAGAAAGGCAATCCGCGCAGACGCCGCACGATGCGAAGCGATGCAGGCGTCGAGGAAGAGGAAGCCTCCAACATGACCTTCCATTTGACCCCGGTCATGGCCCCGCGGGCGCCGATGGGGCTCTCCTTCGGGATGACTTTTTGATGATTCGCGCCAGCGCGGCGCGGGAAAAAATGGGGCGCAGGATTTTCAAATCAGTCGAAAGTTTGATCGGCTTTGAAAATCCTGCGCCCCATTTTTTCCCTCAGCACCGAAGGCTTTTTCAGGAGAGCCCGAGCGCTTCCTTGAGCTCGGCGACGAGCTTGAAGTAGGTGTTCCGCGGGAAGGGGTGATTCAGGATATGGAACTCCTTTTTGACCAGGCCCACGCACCCGAAGCAGAAGACGCACTCGTAGCAATTGCTGCAATGAATCAGGTACGAGCTCTTGTTGCAGTTGACCGCGTGTTGGCAATAGCTCGAGTTGTGGCAGTTGGTCGCCGAGTGGCAGTGCGTGCAGTCGCTGCATGATTCGCAGTCGTTGCAGTAAGTGCACTTGAAGCAGTCGGTCGAGCGTTGCGTGAACATGCAGTCGTAGCAGCGAACGCACTCCTCGGACTTGTAGCTCCCTGGGCTTGACTGGTCGGCGCGCGCTTGCTTGAGCAAGTCACCGAGCGCGCGCTCGAAGTCGCGTTTGGAAAGGGGAACCTCTTCCTTGTTCATCAAACATCCATGGTCTCGGACGAGGCGCTCGCGCGCTCATCGCATCGATCGAAGTGCGGCGAGAGAGAGGATTCGAGATCACTCCTCGCCGCGTTTACTAAGGCAAATAATCAGGCTGCCGTAATCGCGCTCGGCGTTGAGCTCGGGCGCGTAACCGCGAACATAGCGAAACCCTGGGCCTTCCAACCAGTGGAGCACCGAGGGTTTGAGCACGGGGATGCCATCCTCGGATTGGAGCCCGCGGCCATGGATCACGCGCGCGTACCGCGCCTTATCCTTCCACGCCTGGTGGATAAATAACTCGAGCTGGCGAAGCGCGTCTTCCACGGAGTCTCCTCGCAGGTTGAGCGAGGGGAGGTCATTGTGGCGCATCCACAGCTTGCAGCGGTTCAGGATGCCCTTGTGCGAGGGGTCGAGGTTCGCGATGAAGTTGAGGCCCTCGCCGTCCTTTGGGAGCGGAGGCGCGATAAGATCATCGGGGCTCTCGCTCGAGTAACCGCCATCGGCGCGCTCGAGTTTGCTCGCGCGTGGTTTGAGGCGGTAGTACTTGGACTGATTCTGGAATTCGTCCATCTTGCCCACGAAGCGCTCGAACAGCATCTCCTCGCGAAGTTCGGCGATCTTGGCGCGCGCTTCCTCTTCATCGAGCGGTTGTTCCTGCTGATCACCCTGACCTCCGCTCGCGGCGTGTGCGACGGCGGCGTCCACGCCTTGTTGCGAGACATCATCGACAGAAGGTGGCAGATCGCGCACGGCGCCGTGGTATTTGCCCACGTAGACATCGTTTGGCGCCATCGCTTCGAGCGCGTGCTCGAAGAGCTCTTCTTCGCTCAGCGGCGCGTCGGGTGTGTCTTCCTGTTCATCCGCCTGGCTGTCTTGTGGAGGCGCCTGCTCGGGCGCTGCATCGGGCGCGTTCTCCTCGGCGTACACATCCTCACTTCCCTGTTGCTCGCCGGCAGCGGGAGCTGTGCGCTCTTGCCTGGAGAGTTCGACCTTGGAGAGCTTCCCTGCGAGCGGGGATGAGAATGGCGAGGAGCCCTTACGCTTTCGCTGCATGCTGGGGGAGGGCATCTCCTCCATCGCCTTGAGGAAGAGCTCCTCGTCAGTGAGTTCGACGGGGGGCTCTTTATGCGCGGGTTTGGGCGGCGCTTTGGGAGGAGGAGCGGTCGAGTCCTGTTTTTTGACCTCGACATCGATGTTCTGCAACTTCGCGGCGAGCGAGGAGGAGAATTCTTTCTCCTCGCCGCGCTTGGAGCGGTTGTTTTTCTTTTTCTTTTTGGCCATGGCGACATCTCCGCGCGGTGCGGGGGATGTACGAGCGCGGGGAGGGCGTCAGAGAAGAGGACTCACTTGTCCTTCTTCTCCTCCTCGCCCTCTTTCTTCTCGTCCTTCTTCTGAAGCTCCTCGGGGAGCTCCGGCTTTTTGAAAGAGTAACTGAGCAGGACGCGCGCGATCCCCTTCTTCTCGAAGAGTGATGCAGGATACTCGAAGGTCAAGGAGGTGACCTCGTCGGAAGGCATCTCGAAGAGGACAAAGTCCGTGATCTTCTTGCCTGGAGCGACGGGTTGTTTGCCCTCGAGCTGACCTTCGGGCGTGGTGGTCGGTCCGAATTGAACGCGCTTGTGCGCGCCCTCGGCCGAGGAGAAGAGGCGAGCGCCTGCGGCACCTGCGACAGCGCGGTGGCTGGGCTCGTAGGTGATCTCTTCGCTCCCCTTGTTCTCGACGGTGTACGTGATTTTGTAGAGCGGGTTCTTGGAGAAGCCTTCGCCCTGCGCCGTGTCATTGGTTTTGACGTAGAGGTTCTCGGTCTTGGTGACGGTGAACTCGACGCCATCGAAGTCGACGGCTTCCTTCTCGCTGTAGACCTTTGGCCCCTTGGGCGTGGTGGCCTTGTAGGGGAGCGTGAAGAGGACGGGGGTCTTGCCTCGGTGCCAGGTGGGCGGGAGGCTAAAGACCAGATCATTCCAGTCCGCGGGAGGACGCTCGAAGAGGTAAACGTCGGTGACGCTGTCTCCCTTGGCCAACGTCTGAGGCTTGGTGATTTGTTTTGGCACCGAACCTCGCGAGATGATCACGCCGTTGACGGGCGTCTTCTGCTCTGGCGGGAGCTGTGCTTCCTCGCCGGTCGGCGCGCGGTAGAGCAGTGGCGTGGACCCCTCGTTCATCTGCTGCGCAGAGTGCGTGGGGGTGTACGTCAGCTCGTTCTCACCATTGTTGGTGATGGTGACAGGGATGATCAGGACCGGGCTCGGATATTCGAAGGTCTCGTCACCTGCGGTTAGCTCGAGGTAGCGGAGCTCGTACGAGCCCAACTTGAACTCGACCCCCCCTGCTACAGCGGGAGCATCCGCTGCGGCGATCACTGGCTTCTCACATCCTGTCATAAAGGTCATGGCGGCCACGGTCGTGGCGCACATAACCAGATGTCGGAGTTGGCTTCCCTTCATCGACCCTATTCTCATCGAGGGCATCATCCATCCTTTGGTTGACACTCTTGGTGGCAAGCACTTCGTCTTCGAGAGGAGTTAAAGAGAGACCTCTCGAACGGTTCTGCCAGCCCTTTCAAGCCCCCAGATGTTCTCCCGACTTCTTGCATGCGTCAAGGAACCCTTTGCGATGCGGCGAGAGGAAGCAGACTTCTTACCCCTCTCGCCGCTGTTTTTGCACCCGTGTGACGTTTTTATGACGCGGTGCGTCATCGCATGGAATCAGACCGAGCGCTTGAACGGGGGGGGGAATTTGCTAGGATAGCGAGGTTCTGATTCACGACATCTTTTCTGTGGGGCCTCCTCGATGGACCGCGAACCTAAACGCCGCCAGCGTCTCTTGAAACGCGCACATGTGCGTTGGGCGCCAGCACTCGGCGCGTTGATATTGCTCACGAGCACCCCCGGGTGTTTGACCGAATACGACTTCTCCCAGCCCGAGCGTGAGCTCGGCACGCTCGGCGAGGAGGTGCACGCGATCTGGCTCAAGGATGCCAAACGCGCCAGGGATAACGCGCCGCAAAAGTCCGCGATGCTCGAGACGCGGCGCGCAGAGTTCGTGCAGGCCGTCGATACGGTGGCGCCAGCGGACCAGCTCGACGAGATCGATCTCTTCCTGCAGGACTCGCTCGTGATGATCGATGACGAGACCTTGCCGGGCATGACCCGCAAGGTCGAGGTCGCCATGATCGAGGCTTCCGCCGATGATGCGCTGCTCTTCGCGGTCAGCGACGCGAGCAAACCACAGCCCGCGGACTTTATCAGCCCGATCGCCGCGCCTGACCTCATCGGTTACGTGACGACCTACCCCAAGCTTCGCGAGATGGGGATCAAGGGCTCGCGCATCGTGCTCGATAACGACGGGTTCACCGACGATGGCCAACCCGATCCTGCCGAGTCCAACGGCATGACCGAGCTCACGCGCACCATGGCCACGGTGCTCGAGGACACCGACCCCGACGCCATCGATGACTCGCTCGCGATTATCACTCGCGACATGCTGCTTCGTCAGGACGAGCGCTTCGCCGTCGAGGATGCCACGCGTCCTCTCTATGTCGCTGTCTACGATTCGCGCGGGCTCCCGATGGCCACGCCCGACGCCAACGCTGACCTGTTCGTCGATGCGGACGGTGATGGTCAGCCTGACCTGGACGCCGACGGGAACTTCATCCTCAAGACAGGCGGAACCACTGGCGCCAAGCCGTTCGAGCCCGGCACGCTCCAGCAGGATGCGTTTGGCCGCACCAAGGGACCAAACGACACCTACGCCTTCGAGTATGTGGACCTGAACAAGACCGGGTTGGGTTTCCTGATCCGCGAGTACGCGACGCTTTCGGCCAATGACGTGATCATCGATTTGCTGGCCACGTTCCGGGCGATCCTCGGCGCGACCGTCGTGCTCGAGGACGAGCATGGCCCCTACCGCGGCTTCGACCCGAACAACCCCCTGATGGACATGAGCTGGGGGTTGGTGCACGCGCTCTCGTATGATTCGTTGCCGGAGCTGTTGCAGGCCAACGCGGACTTCTTCGATCGCAACAGCGACTCGATGGCGGGCGTGGTCGTTTCGCTCGAGGAAGCGGTCGATATCGCGGGCAATTACCCTGACGCCAAGCTCGCGCCGACGCAGACGATCCTGTTCGATCTGATCCCGGTGTTGCACGAGATCTCGTCAGATCCCGCGCTCTGGAAGGACTTCATGGGCGCGCTCGGTGATCCGATCACGCCCAAGGTCGGCGAGGCGATGGTCACATTGCTCGACCACCGCAACACGCGCGCGAACGTCGAGATCATGGGCGCTTACGATCAGTGCTTCATGGATTGCAAGGCATCACACGACCTCGGCACCATCGATCGCTTCGAGTGCATTCGCGCTTGCCCCAACGGCGAGATCTTCCAGCAGAAGATGGACTTCACCGCGCCCGAGAGCCCCGAGAACCGCAGCCAACTCCAGGCCG